GGTCTGGCAGCATCTCTGAAGGAGAAAACAGAGTAAACGTTAACTCGGATTTTTCCTTCACAGAAGCTGCCAGACCTGCTGAGCTTTTCCAGCAACTTTGTTTTTGTTCCTGAGATACAATAAGGGTTGTTTGTTCAATAAACCACCTGTCTCATTGCAAAAATTGAACATTAGAGCGACGTCTTGGATGTATTTCTGGTACTGAATGGATTTACACCTTTACACAACACACGTTTACGCACAGAAAAGAGCGAAGAAACAAAATGCGGATAGGTGGTATTAATAGTAATTGAATTAGCGTTGCAAACACCTGGGTCAAATTGCAGAATATATTATTTCAACCGCAAAGATTTGTATTGAATTACGGACTGAATCTGAAGAGATTAATTAACCTCGGTATTGGGTTTACAGTAAAAACAGGCCATAAACTTTAACGGTGAGGTAGTAAGAACTGCCGATGCTGAAGTCAGAGATAACCGTATGGAGCTGGAGGAGCACAGCAGGTCAGGCAGCATCAGAGGAGCAGGAAAGTTGACGTTTCGGAAGGTCCCGATCCGAAATTCTTTAACGCACAAGTTGACACTGCAACATATTATTTTATGCAATTAAGTATACGTTCTCTGTGATCAAACCAATCCATTGAAAGGCAAAGTTAGGAACTAGTGGGAAGAATTAAGTTAAATGGTGATGAAAACTGGCTTGCTATATTGTTCAGGGTTCCAGTTCAGGCTCTAGTAAGAGGAAGGAATTGAAGGAAATCAATATTAATAGAGGCTGATAAATCCTCAGAATCTGATAATCTACACCTCAAAGTACTTAAGGTAGTGGTCCTAGACATAATTGATACAATCGTGGTCAATTCTGGAACAGTTCCCATGTGCTGGAAGGTAGCTAATGTAACCCTACTTTTTTTTTTAAAAGGAGGTAGAGAGAAGAACGGGAATTATAAACCAATTAGCTTGATATTGGTAGTGGGGAAAATGCTATAGTCCGTTATAAAAAAAAAAATAGCAGTTATTGAAAAACAGTGACAGAATCAGACAGTCATTGTGGATTTATAGAAAGGAAATTGATGCTTGACAAATCCACTGGAATTTTTCAAGGCTGTAACTAGTAGAGTTGATGGTAAGCCAGTGGTGTAGTTTACTTAGATTTTCAGAAAGGTTTTGGTAAAGTCCCACAAGTGATTAGCATGTAAAATTAAAGCACAGGATTGGGGTAGTGTACTGACATGGAAAGAGAACTGGTTGACATACAGGAAACAACGGGAATAAACAGATCTTTTGCAGTACGGCAGGCAGTGAACAGTGAGGTATCACATGGATCAGTGCTAGGGTGCTAACTATTCACAGTATGTATTAATTATTTAGATGAAGGAACAAAATGTAATATCTCCAAGTTTACAGATGACACGAAGTTGGATGGGAGGGTGAATGCTGATAAGGATGCAGAGATGCTTTAGTATAATTTGTACCAGTTGTGAGTGGTTAAATGCAAAGCAGAGGAAGTGTTATGTGGATAATTTAATTACCTACTTTAGTAGCAAACGCAGGAAGGCAGATTATCATCTGAACAGCAATAGATTGGGAAAGAGGAGGTGCAAAGAGACCTGTCCATCCATGAACACCATTTGCTGAAAGTAAGCATACAGGTGCAGCAGAAATTGAAGAAGGCAAATGATATGTTGGCCTTCAAAATGAGAGAATTTGAATACAAGGGCATGGATGCCTTGCTGTAATGTATAGGGCCTTGGTGAGACCAAACCTGGAGTACTGTGTGCAGTCTTGGCTTCCTAATCTGAAGAAGAATGTTCTGGCTACAGAGGAAATGTAATAACATTTTACTGGACTGATTCCTGGGATGGCAGGACTGACATATGAAGAGAGACTAGATTGATTTAAGATTATATTCACTGGAGTTTAGAGGAATGAACACAAACCTTTAAAATTCTAACAGGACTAGATAGGGTAAATGCAGGATGGATATTCCTGATAACCTGGAAATCCAGAATGGGAGTCACAGTTTACTGATACTGGGTAGCAGTTTAGAAGATTTGAGGAGAAATTTCTTCACCTCGGTTAAGCCTGTGAAATTCTCTGCCACAGAAAGAAATTGAGGCCAAAACATTTAATGTTTTCAAGGAGATATAGTTCTTGGGGCCAAAGGGTCAAAGGATATGGGGAGAAAGCAGGAACAGGGTACTGATTTGTTTGATTAGCCATGATCATATCGTATGGCAGAGCAGGGTCAAAGGGCTGCATGGCTTATTCCTATTCTGTATGTTCATTATTTGATTAGCCTGATGGAACGGAAGCAGTAAACTAAAGTGAAGCATCCTGCAAATAATGAAGAAGTCAGTGAGACTAAAGGTGAAAACCACTTTGAAATTACCATTTTCTTTTGATAACCATGTTATTGAGAAAAATTGTATTAATACAATAAGGACATGAAATGCATTATCGCAACAAACCCTGCATTGTTTTAGTTTCCTCGTCTTCCCAAGGGGCTGCATATTACATTCCCAGCTAGATTTTTTTTTGTGTGGGGGTGGTGTGCTTACAAAATATTGACAGTGCCCAACCAGTCAGACGTTTTGGTGTCAGATATGCCATATGGGCATATCAACTCAGTACACTGAGCTGATGCTTAGGATGAAGGCTACTGCCACCATTCCCTTGAAGTGTAGGAAACTACAGGGATATTGCAGTTGAGGAAAGCCACTTCTTGGTCCAACTAAAAGAAATTCTTGTAAGTTAACAAGATATAGTTCACTGCAACTTGTTACAGGCTATGTTGTAATGATTGATATTGTTAGAGACTTTAGCCAGATTGTTTAGTCTCACTCTCAAGATTCTAAGCCACTCAGTCCACAGGTCCAAATGATCTCATCATAGTAGGTGGTACTTTATGACACTGATTATTTTTGAATCAGTATACATTTCCTCATTATTATTCTACAATTATGTATGTAAGTTTATTTACCAGTACCACATCTCCAGCTGCCCCCTACCAAAGTTTTTACAAATGCAAGGAATCCAGAGGTTTCACAATTCTGCTGTAATATATTATCTTCAGACTTGGAAAACTGGCAGTTTGATGAAAGACTGTTGCCTCCAATTTTCTTCCTGTCTGTGTCTAAGACATAAATGTTCCTTTGAACTAGGGGACCTTTAATCTCCCGGAATTCCTTCAAGGAAGATGCTCATCCTGCCTCTTTGCAGTGCCCTGATGCCCTGAAACAGGCAATTTCTTCCATGTAAT